CCCTTTGGGAGCTGTCCCTTATCAAAAGAAAACATCTTTAAATCAGCCTGCATGAATAGTTTCTCTGTGGCTGCACCACAGAGATGAACAGAGAGATGAGGCCTCATTTGGGAAAGCACAGAAACACTTAATTCTGCCTTATTAATAAGCCTCGCCGCTACATGTGTAGCGTTTACAAAATTAAAGTGTTTAAAGTGTATAATTAAAAAGTAAAAAAAAACCTTAAAGGTTAATATTCTAAGACAATCACAAGGAAGTGTATTGCAAGTCTAATGGTCTAACCCCATTTTGATTAAAATCGCAAACACGTGTTTAATTAAATGCCTTTTTTGATTCATAATCTGAGAATTCAAACTGGGGTAAAGTTAGCTTGAAATTCAAAAACGATTTTGGCACACCTGTAGCATTTTCACAAAACCTCCTAGAGTTGTGAGAACACTTGCTTTGTGTATAAAGTACACTGTGAATGTTTTCACAGCCTTCACTTTGTCGTTTTTATGTCAATCAATTTTTTGACCACGCACGAATATTCTAATGTCCCTATCTTCGCAAGGGAATCAGTGCGAATTTTAATATTAATTAAATGACCGCGGGCACTTTCCACCCCCTCTTCATTCTCAGAGTTGAATAGGCTAACCTTCTAATGAAAGACAGTCTACCCTTCCCCCACGGACAGGAAAAGTGCCCGCAGGCACTTAAACTTAATAGAAACTTAATATAGTCAGAAGGAGCATGTAAGAACGTTTTCCGAAATAACCACATGTAAGACTTTGATGCTTAAAATGTTTAGGGAGAAAGTGGAATACTGGTGTGTTTTTTTATCTTTAAAATACCAGTAACAGCCATATACAGTTTGTAATGTAGGAATTTCTATATTTGTCTTTATTTGGTGGTTACATTAGTGACAAAGGCTAAACTTTTAGCTTCAGTAACACGTACGCCGTATGGCATACATGTTTGTATTAACAATATAGTGTCGATAATATTTAGTAATGTCAGTAATAATATCAGCGAACATGGTTTCATGGAGGGCTTCTCAGAACGTTGGGCATTCAGGTAGATTGCCAGGTGAAAGGATTTTTGCAAAAGGTGTTTTGCAGACGTAGGCGTAGTACGTAATTCAGGCTTTATGAACTCACACCTGGGATTCGATTAATTAGGTTTATTAATTATTAGAGTTAATAAAGTCTGCGAAACACCATTGCTAGTTAATGCTACTTCACTTCTCGGGCGTGATTTGTTTAGGCAAAAACCAGGCTAACAGGCTTGCTTTGTGATCTTCCTAAGATTGTTAACTGCAGTGTCAAAATGTTTCCATATAAAAAGATTCATATGAAAGGCAATGACATCACCATCCTGAGTCTTGTGTGTGTGTGGCAGGCAGGTTTAGCCTTTGTCACTAATGAAACCACTAGATAAAGACATTTAGAAATCCCTACATTACAAACTCCAAGCGTTTCATTTTGTCTATTGCTACAATATTGACACTACCTTCAAAAGCTATTGAGTCGTGAAAAAGACCCCCCTATCCAAGTGTATTACCTGTAGTGTTATCTTAAAAAAATCATAAAAAATAAAGAACAGTTACTGTATACAACCCAAGGCAAGGTTGGATAAAGTGAGGGGGTCTGCGTAATGTGTAAAACACTTGGTTGTAGCATTGTGAATGTTATGCTTAAAAAGCTATTGAGTCATTAAGAAGGCCCCCCCTAAC